CCTCAGTATGCCTCCCTTGCAAAACCTCTCCAGGAACTCACTCGACTCTCTGTGCCTGACCCCATGCCATGGCCCCCTGAAGCAGACTCTGCCTTTGTTTCCCTCAAACAGGGTTTGGCTTCTGCCCCCGCTTTAGGGCTGCCTGACTACTCTAAGCCCTTTACCCTTTTCTGCCATGAACAATCTGGCTGTGCACTTGGAGTTCTCACTCAGGTGCACGGAGGCAAGAACCGCCCAGTGGCTTATTTCTCTGCCACTTTGGACCCTGTGGCCCAAGGCTTACCCCCCTGCCTGCGTGCTGTGGCTGCCGCAGCACGCCTAGTTGAAATGTCCGAATCCCTTGTCCTTCGCTCTCCCCTTACCCTCCTGGTCCCTCACTCTGTGGAAACCCTCCTGCTACAACGTAACACAGGCCACCTCTCCTCCGCTCGCCTTACTAGGTATGAACTTTTACTGCTGTCAGCTTCGTATATTACTGTGAAGCGTTGTTCTCAGTTAAACCCTGCCACTCTCCTTCCTTTGTCTGATGACGGTGATCCCCACGACTGCCTTGCAACTGTTTCTGCTGTCACCGTCCCGCGCCCTGACCTCTCTGATGTCCCTCTCCCTAACTCTGACCTTGTTTTGTTTACTGATGGTTCCTGTTTTCGAGACAACCAAGGTCGTCTCCTTGCAGGGTACGCTGTAGTGTCACTCGCTGAGACCCTAGAAGCTGCGCCTTTACCTTCTGTGACCTCAGCACAAGTTGCCGAATTGGTTGCCCTCACCCGTGCCTGCTTTTTGGCAGAGGGACGCTCCGCCACTATTTACACTGACTCCCGCTATGCTTTTGGGGTTGTACCTGACTTTGGCACCCTCTGGCAAGCTCGGAGTTTCCTTACCTCCGCCGGTACCCCTATCAAAAATGGCCCCTACATCGCTGCTCTCCTGTATGCAGTTTTACTTCCGTCTGCCCTAGCTATTGTTAAGTGCCCTGGCCACTCGACGGCGGATACTGATGTTGCTAAGGGTAACGCATTTGCTGACGCCTCTGCTAAACATGCTGCTGCCATAGAACCTTCCCCAGATGCATTTCTAGGTTCCCTTTGTGTTTCTATACCACCGCCGACCTCTCACCAACCTCACCCTGCTCCAAGACTCTGCCACAGAAGCCGAAAAGGACTCCTGGGTTGCCCAGGGTTGCTCTCTATATCCTGATTCCCTTTGGCGTTCGCCTACTGGTGCCTTTGTGGCCCCCTTTTCACTCTACCCATCGCTGGCCGACCTGCTACACGGTGTTTAGCATATCGGAAAGGAGGGAATGGTCTCTGCTGTAACTAAGGCAGGATGGTGGGCCCCGCATTTCAGCTCCTTTGCAGCCCGCCACTGTGCCGCCTGTACCACTTGCCAAAGCCACAATATTGGTAAACCTGGAAAAGTGGCTCAGGGGTTCCGGGGCCTGCCCCAGGCAC